AACATCCTTAAATCAAGACACATTTACTGGAGACGCAAAATGAAGATATGAAACAAAAAAATTAAGTAGATTTTTCTGATATTTGTTTGTTTAAAGCAAATGTATATATATATATATATATATATTATATATTTTGTATTTAGTCATTTATATATATTTTATTCCCTGTTGTTTTCTGTCAAAATAAAAGTCTGACGGTTTAACATTTGAAAATGAAGAAATTAAGACATCAATTTACGACAACATTTTACGGTTCTAAATGTAAAATAAAATTATATTTATGATTTTTTTTATACTCAATTTTGTTATTTCACAGTGAAATATTACAATAGAAATATTTTTATTTTGTAGTCATTTACATATTTTTATATAGTAGTAGTAGTAATAATAATAATAATTATTATTGATTAATAATAATAATAATTATTATTATTTTATAGCCATATTAATATATAAAAATACAAATATATAAAGTTTTGCCAAATAGTGCAGCCCTACAAATTAAATTGCGATCACAATTTTTATCAAAAAAAAGAAAATACTTTTAGCCATTTAGCTTCTCAAGCTAATTTATCTTAATTTTAAAATGTTTTATTTCACGATTTCTGCGAGTTTTACTTTTTAAGGCCAATTGAAGAAAAACTAAGGAATAAATGAAAGTAAACACAATACGTCAATATGTTCTCGAAGTGTTTTTTCAGTTTAACTTTGTTTTATTTCAAGTAATGTTTTTTAATGTCTCAGAAAACAGGACTTTAGCTTCTCCAGTAAATGTGTCTTGATTTAAGGATGTTTAGATATTTGTACTGGAAAACAAGACAGCAGTGCATGCAGCATTTAATGCCACGGCTTTATGGATTTAAGCCTTTCTGCTCTGATTTAAGAGGTTTTTAGAGCTGAACTTGTGTATCACCGGTTCCAAAAAGATATGAAGCAGCAACAGTTTCCAGCTCTGATAATAATCAGCATATTATAGTGATTTCTGAAGATCATGTGACACTGAAGACTGGAGGAATGATGCTGAAAATACAGCTGCACATCACAGAAATAACTTAGATTTGAGTGTATATTAAAATAGAAAAAAATTATTTTACATCATAATAATATTGTACAATTTTGATCAAATAAACGCAGCCTGGCTGAGCAGAAGAAACTCCTTTAAAAAACATTAAAATCATTCCGATCCCAAACCTTTGACCGGTAGTGTGTGTGTGTATGTATATATAAATCAGTGTGAACTAAATATGTACAAACCTACAAAATAAAGAGGGGAATAAAACTGTAAAGTTTGTTGTTTGTAAGAGAAAAAAAACTTTAAACATTGAAATCTACAGTCGCAGATAGATAAAGTGCAATAAAAGAAACCCTTTAAGTGTGTATTGTGGATGTTTTCTTTCCACTCGTCTGAAAGAAGAGACATGGAGCAAAACAGAGCAAAATCTCAAAACCAGTGCATTTACTTAATAATGTCTTCATTTTTATTACATTTCTAATAATTTGACACAGTCTCCTTGCTCTTGTAGAGCTTCTTTGTCGTGTAATCTTAGGATTGTGTAGTTTCAAGGGATATGTGCCTTCACAGGTAAGAGATTTGAGAGTGTAAGTGTAAGCGTAAAGAGTTCAGAAGCGTCACCTTGAAGAGGTCGTAGAGCTCCGACAGGTCTTGCTGCGACAGAGACACGTCTGCTGTTTTTTTGCGGTTCTCTGAGTCAGTGGCATTCAAAACATTTACAGAGCATTTACCACCGCAACCATCAGTCATTTAGAAGGGAACCAGACAGGTGTTCAGGTTGTAGAGAGATTGTGAAGCACACACCGATGACCCTGCGGTTGAAGTAGTCGGGCAGCATCCGCTCGCACACAGTGACCAGCAGCCAGAACGCTTCCTCCTCTTTAGCGTACAGGAGCAGCACGGAGGCCAGGATGTTCATGGACTGCAGAGAACACACACATCAACAACACCAGCACAGTTCAGTTAATGCATGAGCTTTGTGTGGCTTTATCTGGTTTTTATGATCTTCCGGGCACCTGACAGTAGGGGTGTGCGATATATATCGTCTGCGATTTGTTGCTTTATTGATGTGCAATTTGACATTATCGAGTACTTTGCAAAAGCCAAACAAAACACCTACGGGGTACACGCATACATTACGTGATGAATTACAACATTACGGCATAAACAGTGCACGTGCGCATTTAGAGTGTGTTCTTTCACTGCATGATTCAAGTCTATTAAAATGCATTAAGAAAGATCACAAAATTGATTACAAATGTGATACAATATGGTTTTAGACACCATATTGCCTGTTTTTGCTCTACTTCGCCAACCAAAAATGTTTCGTTCCTGAATGAATCAACCGTTTAAATGATTCGGTTCAATCACGATGACTCACTTATTAACAGTGACTTGCTGCCACCTGCTGGCGGATTTAATTTCACATTTAAAGTATTCAAACATCAGTATTCAATATTTAATGTTTAAAATATCAAAACATTATGCATTTGTAACGGCAGGTTAAAGCACTACCTGTCCCTCTGAGCTGAATTAAATAGTGTGTAAATACATCTAAATGCCACTTCAGATGCAACTTCTGCAAAGATTAATTTTGTTGATACTAGTTTCATTTGTTTTGTAACTTAAATTACTTATTATTCTAATTGACTGATTAAATGTAACAATTTGACTCAAAAGATGCACACTTTTAGCAAAAAATGCCCATAAAATGATGATGAACTGACCACACAGAATGAAGAATATCAAAAACTGCAGCTGTCCATGCTAGTCAGATATCAGCACAATAACACACTCTGCAAAATATCATCTAATTATCGTTATCGAAAATATCGAGGTGTTTTTTTCCCCAATATTGCTACCTGGCAGTAGCCGATGGCGGGGTTTCTGAAGGCGTAGGCTGTGAGGACGCGGCGCAGCGCTGAGATCCCCGTCTCGTTCTGGAAGGCCGGATGCTCCGGCAGCGAGCGGTGCAGATCTCGCTCGATCTCCTCTGTGGCGATGCTGCTTTCCCCTCTGCATTTCTCCAGCAGATCCGCGTAGTAGCTGGGATGAGCTGCCAGCGAGGAACACGCGTCTGAGAGACGAGATGGAGAGATGGAGGACGTCACACACGCACACAAATCAAAGTAAAACAAAGAAAGATGATGGTTGTAATTCTCCGTTGATCTAGAACGACTAACGCGTTCTTCCCCAGAACTCTCTGATCGACACACACGGATTATATCTCACTTTAAACACAGAAACAAGAATATGAGGATCCAAAAGACAATAATCACAATGTTTTGTCTTGACTCGCCTGACATAAATAATAAAGATCAGATAATCACTCATACGAACATTACACATTAAGCGAAAATGGTCGTGAGAAATATTTATCAAACACTGAATTTCGGATCATGGGTTAACATGCAGAGGAATATTAACGACTACTAGATTTACATTTTTCATGATTTTTTAATTACAATTATTTGAGAAAATTAATACACCACTGGCCAAGAGTTTGGAATAATTCATTTTTTTAATGCTTTTGTAAGAAGTCTCTTCTGCTCACCAAGACTGCATTTATTTACTAAAATACTGTAAAAATAGTGAAATATTATTGTAATTTAAAACAGCTGTTTTCTCTGTGAATCTCTGTTAAACTGTAATGTATTTCTGTGATGCGCAGCTGTATTTTCAGCATCATTCCTCCAGTCTTCAGTGTCACATGATCTTCAGAAATCAGTATAATATGCTGATCTGCTGCTCAACAAACATTTCTGATTATTATCAATGTTGAACACAGTATGATTCAAGTCTATTAAAATGCATTAAGAAAGATCACAAAATTGATTACAAATGTGATACAATATGGTTTTAGACACCATATTGCCTGTTTTTGCTCTACTTCGCCAACCAAAAATTTTTCGTTCCTGAATGAATCAACCGTTTAAATGATTCGGTTCAATCACGATGACTCACTTATTAACAGTGACTTGCTGCCACCTGCTGGCGGCTTTAATTTCACATTTAAAGTATTTAAAGTATTCAAACATCAGTATTCAATATTTAATGTTTAAAATATCAAAACATTATGCATTTGTAACGGCAGGTTTAAGCAATAACCGTCCCCCTCAGCTGAATTAAATCGTAAATACATCTAAATGCCACTTCAGATGCAACTTCTGCAAAGATTAATTTTGTTGATACTAGTTTCATTTGTTTTGTAACTTAAATTACTTATTATTCTAATTGACTGATTAAATGTAACAATTTGACTCAAAAGATGCACACTTTTAGCAAAAAATGCCCATAAAATGATGATGAACTGACCACACAGAATGAAGAATATCAAATACTGCAGCTGTCCATGCTAGTCAGATATCAGCACAATAACACACTCTGCAAAATATCATCTAATTATCGTTATCGAAAATATCGAGGTGTTTTTTTCCCCAATATTGCTACCTGGCAGTAGCCGATGGCGGGGTTTCTGAAGGCGTAGGCTGTGAGGACGCGGCGCAGCGCTGAGATCCCCGTCTCGTTCTGGAAGGCCGGATGCTCCGGCAGCGAGCGGTGCAGATCTCGCTCGATCTCCTCTGTGGCGATGCTGCTTTCCCCTCTGAATTTCTCCAGCAGATCCGCGTAGTAGCTGGGATGAGCTGCCAGCGAGGAACACGCGTCTGAGAGACGAGATGGAGAGATGGAGGACGTCACACACGCACACAAATCAAAGTAAAACAAAGAAAGATGATGGTTGTAATTCTCCGTTGATCTAGAACGACTAACGCGTTCTTCCCCAGAACTCTCTGATCGACACACACGGATTATATCTCACTTTAAACACAGAAACAAGAATATGAGGATCCAAAAGACAATAATCACAATGTTTTGTCTTGACTCGCCTGACATAAATAATAAAGATCAGATAATCACTCATACGAACATTACACATTAAGCGAAAATGGTCGTGAGAAATATTTATCAAACACTGAATTTCGGATCATGGGTTAACATGCAGAGGAATATTAACGACTACTAGATTTACATTTTTCATGATTTTTTAATTACAATTATTTGAGAAAATTAATACACCACTGGCCAAGAGTTTGGAATAATTCATTTTTTTTATGCTTTTGTAAGAAGTCTCTTCTGCTCACCAAGACTGCATTTATTTACTAAAATACTGTAAAAATAGTGAAATATTATTGTAATTTAAAACAGCTGTTTTCTCTGTGAATCTCTGTTAAACTGTAATGTATTTCTGTGATGCGCAGCTGTATTTTCAGCATCATTCCTCCAGTCTTCAGTGTCACATGATCTTCAGAAATCAGTATAATATGCTGATCTGCTGCTCAACAAACATTTCTGATTATTATCAATGTTGAACACAGTCGTGCTGCACAATATTTTTGTGGAAACTGTGATACATTTTATTTTTCAGGATTCAGAGATGAATAGAAAGTTCAAAAGAACAGCTTTTACTTGAAATATAAATCTTTTAAAACATTATAAATGTCTTTACTGTTACTTTTGATCAATTTAATGCAGCCTTGATGAATAAAAGTATTAATTATACAGCAGTGAAACTGTGTACATGAGTTTAACATATATTGAATCCTCATGCTGGTGATGTTTATTATAATATGATGTCACTTCAGGAGGAGTCATGTGACCTGACGCTGGTTTCCTGTTCCTCACACATTCAGATTCAACACACACGCAGAGATAGCTTTTGAAAGCGGATGAAAATGGGAAATTATTTCACAGCAGGACAAAATGCACAATTTCATCTAAATAAATTAAAGAGTGAATCTCTCGCGGTGAGGGGTGACACCAGACACAAAGAGCCTCCGACTGAAGTGTGTGTGTGTGTGTATGTGTGTGCGTGTGTGTGTGTGTGAGTGAGAGAGTGTGTATGTGTGTGTGTGTTTTAGTACATCAAGTTTATCAACTAAATGAAAATAGCAACTAGCTGAAATATTTTATTTCAAGTAACAAGAATTTTAAAATGTAAAAATGTTTAACTATTTCTGAAATGTGAACTAGACCGTTTTTTTGCGGTTCTCTGAGTCAGTGGCATTCAAAACATTTACAGAGCATTTACCACCGCAACCATCAGTCATTTAGAAGGGAACCAGACAGGTGTTCAGGTTGTAGAGAGATTGTGAAGCACACACCGATGACCCTGCGGTTGAAGTAGTCGGGCAGCATCCGCTCGCACACAGTGACCAGCAGCCAGAACGCTTCCTCCTCTTTAGCGTACAGGAGCAGCACGGAGGCCAGGATGTTCATGGACTGCAGAGAACACACACATCAACAACACCAGCACAGTTCAGTTAATGCATGAGCTTTGTGTGGCTTTATCTGGTTTTTATGATCTTCCGGGCACCTGACAGTAGGGGTGTGCGATATATATCGTCTGCGATTTGTTGCTTTATTGATGTGCAATTTGACATTATCGAGTACTTTGCAAAAGCCAAACAAAACACCTACGGGGTACACGCATACATTACGTGATGAATTACAACATTACGGCATAAACAGTGCACGTGCGCATTTAGAGTGTGTTCTTTCACTGCATGATTCAAGTCTATTAAAATGCATTAAGAAAGATCACAAAATTGATTACAAATGTGATACAATATGGTTTTAGACACCATATTGCCTGTTTTTGCTCTACTTCGCCAACCAAAAATTTTTCGTTCCTGAATGAATCAACCGTTTAAATGATTCGGTTCAATCACGATGACTCACTTATTAACAGTGACTTGCTGCCACCTGCTGGCGGCTTTAATTTCACATTTAAAGTATTTAAAGTATTCAAACATCAGTATTCAATATTTAATGTTTAAAATATCAAAACATTATGCATTTGTAACGGCAGGTTAAAGCACTACCTGTCCCTCTGAGCTGAATTAAATAGTGTGTAAATACATCTAAATGCCACTTCAGATGCAACTTCTGCAAAGATTAATTTTGTTGATACTAGTTTCATTTGTTTTGTAACTTAAATTACTTATTATTCTAATTGACTGATTAAATGTAACAATTTGACTCAAAAGATGCACACTTTTAGCAAAAAATGCCCATAAAATGATGATGAACTGACCACACAGAATGAAGAATATCAAATACTGCAGCTGTCCATGCTAGTCAGATATCAGCACAATAACACACTCTGCAAAATATCATCTAATTATCGTTATCGAAAATATCGAGGTGTTTTTTTCCCCAATATTGCTACCTGGCAGTAGCCGATGGCGGGGTTTCTGAAGGCGTAGGCTGTGAGGACGCGGCGCAGCGCTGAGATCCCCGTCTCGTTCTGGAAGGCCGGATGCTCCGGCAGCGAGCGGTGCAGATCTCGCTCGATCTCCTCTGTGGCGATGCTGCTTTCCCCTCTGCATTTCTCCAGCAGATCCGCGTAGTAGCTGGGATGAGCTGCCAGCGAGGAACACGCGTCTGAGAGACGAGATGGAGAGATGGAGGACGTCACACACGCACACAAATCAAAGTAAAACAAAGAAAGATGATGGTTGTAATTCTCCGTTGATCTAGAACGACTAACGCGTTCTTCCCCAGAACTCTCTGATCGACACACACGGATTATATCTCACTTTAAACACAGAAACAAGAATATGAGGATCCAAAAGACAATAATCACAATGTTTTGTCTTGACTCGCCTGACATAAATAATAAAGATCAGATAATCACTCATACGAACATTACACATTAGGCGAAAATGGTCGTGAGAAATATTTATCAAACACTGAATTTCGGATCATAGGTTAACATGCAGAGGAATATTAACGACTACTAGATTTACATTTTTCATGATTTTTTTATTACAATTATTTGAGAAAATTAATACACCACTGGCCAAGAGTTTGGAATAATTCATTTTTTTAATGCTTTTGTAAGAAGTCTCTTCTGCTCACCAAGACTGCATTTATTTACTAAAATACTGTATAAATAGTGAAATATTATTGTAATTTAAAACAGCTGTTTTCTGTGTTCTCCAGCAGATCCGCGTAGTAGCTGGGATGAGCTGCCAGCGAGGAACACGCGTCTGAGAGACGAGATGGAGAGATGGAGGACGTCACACACGCACACAAATCAACGTAAAACAAAGAAAGATGATGGTTGTAATTCTCCGTTGATCTAGAACGACTAACGCGTTCTTCCCCAGAACTCTCTGATCGACACACACGGATTATATCTCACTTTAAACACAGAAACAAGAATATGAGGATCCAAAAGACAATAATCACAATGTTTTGTCTTGACTCGCCTGACATAAATAATAAAGATCAGATAATCACTCATACGAACATTACACATTAAGCGAAAATGGTCGTGAGAAATATTTATCAAACACTGAATTTCGGATCATGGGTTAACATGCAGAGGAATATTAACGACTACTAGATTTACATTTTTCATGATTTTTTAATTACAATTATTTGAGAAAATTAATACACCACTGGCCAAGAGTTTGGAATAATTCATTTTTTTTATGCTTTTGTAAGAAGTCTCTTCTGCTCACCAAGACTGCATTTATTTACTAAAATACTGTAAAAATAGTGAAATATTATTGTAATTTAAAACAGCTGTGTTCTGTGTGAGTATCTGTTAAACTGTAATGTATTTCTGTGATGTGCAGCTGTATTTTCAGCATCATTCCTCCAGTCTTCAGTGTCACATGATCTTCAGAAATCAGTATAATATGCTGATCTGCTGCTCAACAAACATTTCTGATTATTATCAATGTTGAAAACAGAAACCGTGATGCATTTTATTTTTCAGGATTCACAGAAATTGTTGAACAGAAAGTTCAGAAGAGCAGCATTTATTTGAAACAGAAATCTTCTGTAACATTATAAATGTCTTTCCGGTCACTTTTGATCACTTTAATGCGGCTTTGATGAATAAAAGTATCAATTTCTTTATTTTTTTTGTTAACCTTACTTACTCTAAACTTTTGAATGGTAATGTATCACGGTTAAATGCAGTCTCGGTGAGCAGAAGAGACTTCTTTCAAAATCATTAAAAATCTGAATTGTTCCCAACTTTTGATCGGTAGTGTAATTCATTTTAAAATGAGTTACATAATTGCAAAACATATGGGATGACTGTGCAGCATGTATTAAAACTCCAGTGCGTACAGAGCAGAGAACTCTAAATAAATCAGCAGATAAGAGCGTTGATCTCCGTGATGCATTTTATTTTTCAGGATTCACAGAAAGTGTTGAACAGAAAGTTCAGAAGAGCAGCATTTATTTGAAACAGAAATCTTCTGTAACATTATAAATGTCTTTCCTGTCACTTTTGATCACTTTAATGCGGCTTTGATGAATAAAAGTATCAATTTCTTTATTTTTTTTGTTAACCTTACTTACTCTAAACTTTTGAATGGTAATGTATCACGGTTAAATGCAGTCTCGGTGAGCAGAAGAGACTTCTTTCAAAATCATTAAAAAATCTGAATTGTTCCCAACTTTTGATCGGTAGTGTAATTCATTTTAAAATGAGTTACATAATTGCAAAACATATGGGATGACTGTGCAGCATGTATTAAAACTCCAGTGCGTACAGAGCAGAGAACTCTAAATAAATCAGCAGATAAGAGCGTTGATCTGAACATCTCTGCAGAAAGCAGCAGAAGAGGAAGCGACTCAGAGGCTTGAGCTGGACAAATTTAGAGTGACTAAAAGCACCATGGAAGTGACTTTCTTCTGTTCTGTGTCACCCTGTCCGCTTCTCTCTTTCTCTCTTTCAGTCTCTCACCGGAGAAGTTGAGCCACAGCTCTCCGCGCAGAGACTCGGGGATCCCCAGCGCCACCAGCTTACGGATCTTATCCGTGCGAAACATGTGAACGCCGCGACCGAACTCGGTGAAGTGTTCCTCCCACAAACGCTCTCGAACCTGCTCCGTGTTCTGATGGACACAAAAACATCTTCAGCCCACAATTCAACAAAAAGAGAAATTATTTGCATTACTGCGTTTTGCATAAAGCATACTTTTAGAACACTTAAAGGGACAGTTCACCCAAAAATGCAAATTCTGTCATTTACTCTCCCTCAAGCTGTTCCAAACCGGTATGAGTTTCTTTCTGAACAAAAGAAGAGATTCTGAAGAATGCTGGCTGGCAGCCGCTGAAGTCAATGCGCACCAGTTCGGTTACCAACATATTTGGAACAACACGAGTGTGAGAAAATGATATAATGATACAAAATATAATTTTTTTGCTGAACTCTCGCTTTAAGATTTTTTGTATTGTGACATTATTTTTTTTAAACACATTTTACCCCCAAACTCTCATTACTGTAATTCATTCATTTTTATTTATTGATTGATTTGAATACAGACAGTACAGAAAAAAAAAATAAAATTTGATTCCAGCCATAAGCTGAAAAATATGCATTGTACATAAAGAGTATAACATTTGCTAATTATATAATTAGAATAAAAAAAAAATTGAAATAATCTGATTGTAATGAATTCTTTGATTTTGGTGTGAAATAAGACTAAAACATCTTCACTATGTATTGTAACTGTGCACCAGGGATGCTACAGTTAATTAAAACTAAAACTGAAGCTAAAGTTAAAACCATAAAAAAAAGTGTCACTTTTTAAAAAAAATTATTTATAAAAGGCAACATTTCTCATTTTACATTAGTCTTTAAACTTGATGCACCAAACTAACTGAAATAAAAAAATTATAAAACCAATACGAAAAATAAAGAAAATACTAAAGGGTGTTACTCACACTGGTCTTGTTCGGAGCGTCTGATTGGCTGGGGTGGAATGTGGACACGAGGTCGGTGTGGACGGTGTGACGCAGAGCTTTATCAGAGATGATGGCGCTGCTGTCCTCCTCGTCTGATTGGACGGTGTCGTAACAGAAGGTGTAGTATGGTGTGGAGGAGATCTAGAGAGCAGAAAACACACGCTGCGTTATAAGAGCCGCTGAACACAGAATGCGTTATTTAGTGTTCATCTCCATATATACACACTACCGGTCAAAAGCCTGGGATCAGTAAGAGTTAAAGACGTCTCTTCTGCTCATCAAGGCTGCATTTATTTGATCAATAAAAATAAAATAAAAATTGACTGACCCCAAACTTTTGAACTGTAGTGTATATTGTTAGAAAAGATTTTTATTTTGAATAAATGCTCTTCTTTTTAACTTTTTATTCATCAAAGAATCCTGAAATATTAAAAAAATATTAGGCAGCGCAACGGTTTCCAGCACTGATAATAAATCAGCATATTATACTGATTTCTGAAGATCATGAGACACTGAAGACTGGAGGAATGATGCTGAAAATACAGCTGCGCATCACAGAAATACATTAGATTTTAATGTATATTAAAATAGAAAAGCGTTATTTGACATCATAATAATACTTCACAATATTAAATGTTTTCCTGTATTTCTGATCAAATAAATGCAGCCTTGATGAGCAGAAGTAAAAAACATTAAAATCGTTCCGATCCCAAACCTTTGACCGGTAGTGTCTCTGCTAAATGTGTATGTTCAGTATCATGTGCAGTGATGATCAAGCCTTCCATCAATTATTACTAGTGACCTGTTCTAACATGTAGAAAGGTTTGAGCGGTTTTTAAATGTCAGTGAAACCTCACTGAGATCTCTTAACTCAGCTGAAGAAGCTTTGACGGATTAAACTAGAGATGGTCAAACCGAGAGCTTCAGTACTCAGGAGTACCGTGGATTTCTTGCGCTGCTCGTGTCCCCAGATCAAGTTCTGTTTCCAGTGCAGATCTCTCAGCCGGTGCCTGACGTTCTCCACCAGCTCGTCCCGATGGAGCAGCTCGATCAGCTGGAACGCTCGCTTACAGCGGACACTAATGATGACGGGGTTAGGGAGAGCACTGGTGCTCTCCGCTTTCTCAATGGAGAGGATCTGCACACACATTAATAAGGGTTTGCATTAACACATCATCTCTGCTCACTGAAGAAATCCTGCGTGAGCTTCAAAACTGAGCCTGGTTTCCTGATGGAGTTTGGGTTCACTGCCACGGTCACCTTTGGCTTGATCAGTGGGGGCTTGAAATATAGTTAATATTCAGTCATATTATTGATTCGACTGCATTTGGACCGAGTTGATCTGAAGAATGACTCTATTGTCTTCTGTAGAGCTGCTTTACAAGTTTGTTTCATAACTGATGGACGTCTTAAAACATTAACACTGTTATTTTCCTGTTTATCACTGCGAAGCTGCTTTGAAATCATCTGTATTGTATAAAGTGCTGTAGAAATCAATGTGAACTGACTAGACTAAAACATTCTTAATGTAGTACCTTGTTACTATGTATGCTTAATATTACTCTTCTAAATTAGGAAATAGTGAATAAATCAATGAATTAGAAAGTTTAATTTTCTGAGATGAGCTAAATGTCCTCATTAAAAGATCAAAACATTATTATTGATACATTTATCATAATTTTGTGGTGCTTTTTACCCTTATTGATACATTTATTATTCTTTTAAGATACTTTTTGTCCTTATTGATACATTTATGATACTTTTTGTCCTTATTGATACATTTATATTTTTTTCCTTATTGATACATTTTTGTCCTTGATATTTTTATGATACTTTTTGTTCTTATTGATACATTTATGATATTTTTTTCTCTTATTGATACATTTTTGTCCTTATTGATACATTTATGATACTTTCATGATACTTTTTGTTCCTATTGATACATTTATGATACTTTATAATGCTTTTGTCCTTATCGACACATTTATCAAACTTTTAAGGTGCTTTTTGTCCTTTTAGGAGCTTGAAAGTAGCTAAACGAAAAGAACCCATAGCAGAAAGTAAATTTCAGTGTGAGCTCTTCCTATAGCAGCTGATGATCTCTGACTGCTGTGTGCTGGCGTCTGTACCTCTGTGAGGGGTATGATGAGAGTACAATGGCCCTCCTCACGGCTGCTGAAGCACAGATACCCATCTGTGGTGTAGACGGTGCCCGGCGTGTGGCAGCGGGCGTGAGGAGTCCAAACCGAGCATGACATTACTTCCTGCAGACGCTCGGCCCGCGGCAAGCCAAAGAGAGAGAGCACGTACTGCCTGAGAGCCTGTTCCTCCAACACCCTGTGAGACACAAACATACACAACCATGTTCATTCATCAGACTACAGGAAAATGCCGAAGACTTCAGAGGATCTGACCATTAAAGTCAATACAACTAGAGGCCGAACGATTGATCTGTTTTGGCGATTAATCGGCACCGATAGTCGATTGCTGGAACTATCGGCAAAAATCCATGCCGATAGTTTCTCCGGGTTGCGTCCATTGCTGGAGTGGCTGAGAAGATCCGCAGTCATTATACAGTATGAGAGCGGCCTCTAGAGGCGAATCACGGACAGCACGTGCTGTTTGTTTTGACACGTGCTGGTTTAAAACAGACAACGAAAGGGTGTGTACACAGTATATTACAGTGCATGTTTTCATATCATTACTAAGTAAATCATTTGTTGACTAGATGCTGCATTAGTGGAGAAAGTACAGCAGTGTGTTTGCTCTAAAGGCTGAGAGGATGCGAACATTAGCAGCACCTCAAATGGTTAAAACAATGTGATCAAAACACACGCGAGTCTGACCCAAATGTTTAATGTCACGATTCTTACCATCTATTTGCATTAGTTTATATCCTGCTGGTCACTGTAATGCATTTGTTAACCGTATTTAAAGCTAGTGACGTGAGAAAGCAAATTGTACATAATGACTTCACCCTAGGCGGGAAGATTGTGTATTGTGCATTAAGCGAAACATTTGTCTTTCTGTGAACTATGAACTAACTTTAATGATCAATATGTAATTAATATTTAATGTTAATATGTTTATTCATTTACAAAGTATGGTTCAGTACTTTTTGTTTTTTTAACTATCGTGGGTTAATTGGTATCGGCCAGTGTGGTCCAACCTAGCTATCAGTAAAATCTGCCAGTTGGCCTCTAAATACAACTGCTGTTTATTCGTAGATCTGAAACGGATGAAAGATTCTGATCAAAGCAGCAGAGAACAAAACCACTGCTCTATAAATACACATGCAAATGCAGTTTTCACACCCAACGCACGGCCCACAGCACCAGCACGGGTTTACATGCCGTCGCAAACCACACACTCATGACTTGTGCTTATTTCTCTTAACAGCTCTGATACAGCTGTCAGTCTGAATCTGCTGTAATTTGATTCACAACCATCACCATCATCTCTATATTCTGCACTGTTGTTCTCTGTTCTGCTTTACTTGTTTTCACTGTCTTTCTCGTACCAGAACTTCTCTTTTAGTGAAGGAAGTATATGAGAATCACATCCCTGCTGATGATCATGTAGATACGACAGTAGATGTAGATGTGATGCAGATGTTCACCTCTTGGTTATGTTGGTGGAGTCCTGCAGTGACTGGTCGAGTGTGAGTCCACCGCTGTCCAGCAGCCTGCGGAGGGCGATATCAGCCAGCTGACACATGACCCTCATCACCTCGTCCACGTTCAGAAACATGGAGAAATCCCTCTGTTTCCGTCTCGTGTGAACACGGATCACATCCGTCAGCAAACCCACCGACACACGTTCCAGCCGCATCACTTCAGCCCACGGAACTAACAGCTTCACTGAGCACAAATACAACACGCATGAGTTACACACACAGCACAAAGATGCCAGAAGTGGTCAAATGACAGCATTTCCTCACCCTCTTTGCCCAGTAGGAATGAGTAGAAGGCGATGTGGTTGGTGGTGAGGTACAGTGAGCCCTGGCGCGGCACGTGGCCCTTCCAGCAGCAGCAGGAGTAATGCGTCACCAGTTTCTCTCGCTGAGGGAGTCCGAAGCGCTGCTCGAACCGCGCCAGATCTTCCCGAAAGCGTGCCGGATCATCCTCCCGTGCAGCCTGACCGCCCAAAACCTCCTCCGCGATTAAACCCTACATAGAAACACAGAGACATTCAGAGTCGGAACTGAATGTAATGTTTGTGTGAGTCTGTGGAGAGGCCATACTTTCACTTTGCCCTGCACAAAACTGGCAGCGTCTTCTTTATTCTCAAACACAGCCATGTACGGCAGCAGGTTCTGATCCAGCCATTTCCAGTGTTTCTGCACCTCCTCTATCGTGGCTCCTGTAAGCACACATGGATAATAACTTCATTAATTTCTTAATGTTTTATGCCTTCATTTGATTACCAGCATTTGTAAAATAAATCCCCCCCAAAAAATAAAACTGACAACACATAATTTCTGAAAAAATTCAACATTTCATATGGCCCTATTATTGTAAAAATAGTAAATGTTTTATGAATGCAATGGATTAGATATGATTTTTGATTATTAAAATTTAAACCATTAAAATGTGATCCAGAAAATTTCAAATGGAACTTAATTGTTAAATTGCAAAAGTTTAGGTGACTTCAATTAATTAGACATGCTTTCTGATTATTTAAAAATGTAATAATATTATTTAATAATAAAATTGACTCTAGAAAAATTATTACAGGAAAAAACAGAATCCAGAATATTAAAATAGGGGGGAAAAAACAATAACGTGGAAAAATTTTAAAAACATTTTTTTGAAAAAATAAAACATTTCTTAGGGCACTATTACTGTAAAAGATAAATAAATACAGTATATAAATTGTTACAATTTTATGAATTCAATCGATCTGATTTTGATTATTAAAATATAATTAAACCATTAAAATGGAATCGAGAAAAAATAAAACAGAAAACAGGAATTTGGGAAAAATAAAACAAAATTTGGGAACTTTTACTAAATTACATACATTTCATGATTTCAATTAATCAGACTTTCTTTTTGATTATTAAAATGGAATTTAACCATTAAAATTGAATATAGAAAAATGTATATGGAAAAAAGGATTACAAAAACTAAAATTGAAACAGAACTTTGGAAAAAAAACAAAACACTAATAATGCGATCACGCACATGTGCAAGTGACTGCATAACACACTGGTGCTTATGAAGAGAGGGTGTCACACGAGCGTGAGAGATGCAAACACACTGAACATGAGCTCTCACCGCTGGCTATGACCCAGCTGACCTGCGACCCGGGAACATGCAGAACGATCCGGAACGGGGCCACGCGCGCATTTGAGTCCAGCACGGTGTCCAGCGCGCCCACCAGCAAACCTGCAACACACACACACACACACACACACACACAGCACTGAATGAACTGCATCTGCAGTAAAACCACTGACTACTTATTTATTTAATCATTTAGCAGATGCTTTTATCCAAAGCGACTTACAAATGAGGACAATAAAAGCAGTCAAAACTAACAAAAGAGCAACAATATATAAGTGCAAATGACAAGCCTCGGTTAGCCTAACACCGTACACGTAGCAAGGTGTAATTATATATATATATATATACACACACACACACACACACACAAAGAAAAACAAGTAGATAGAATAGAAAAAATAGAAAGCTAGTGTTTGTTTTTTAAAATAAAAAATAAAAGAAGATAAATATAGATTTCATATTCACGCGATTTTTTAGCGCAGCTCGTCAGTGAACAACGGCTCTGTGTAGTTAATGCTGCTCCATGTGAAAGCACGCAGGTGATGGAGATTTACCGCTGATTACAGAACCGGCTTTACTGACAAGATGCGCATTAAATATCGCATGCGATTTATCGTGCAGCCCTAAACAGAATCATAAAATTCAGTCATAAAAATGGAATTTACGGTGTAATTTTACAGAACATTGCAGAATTTGGATGAATAAATCAAAAGTAGGCATGTAACGATTCATTCAACTCATGATTCGATTCGCGATTTAAGACAAATTATAAATTAAATGTGTCCTTTTATTATTGCTTGGACAAAATACTGTACGATTTTGTGTACAGTATTTTGAAATAAATTGAAATATAACACTATAATAATATGCTAATATAGCACTTGTAAATTATTGCTCTTTTGTTGGTTTTGATTGCTTCTATTGTCCTCGTATGTAAGTCGCTTTGGATAAAAGCTTCTGCTAAATAACAACATTTAAATATAATGCAAATATAAATAACATAACTAAACTGAAATTTTAAAACAAGCCCCAAATCAAATAAATAAGTAACACAAATAAAAGAAATCTCTTCATATAAACAAACTAAGGCTTTGTCTGTGCTCTTGACATTTAATATTAGAGGCAACCACTGCATTTTAATCCTGATCCAAACAAAGATGCTGCGTACACGCAACACGAGCAGTTTTTAATCTATATTAGATTGCATCATTTCGAAATCTGAAGCAAAAACAGAATGGTTTGACCTCAGTTTTGTGAAACTATGCATAAAAATATCTGCATGAAACCGAAACAGCAGACGAGCTGAACGAGACGCAGATGCACTCTCTGCCAGCAGGTGGCGCTTAAAGCCTTTCCTTGGTTTCCGCTGTAAACAAAACAGCGCTGCGCTTATGAACTTTAATATGCGTTATACAGAGGCACGAGGAAAAGAAAAAATAGCATCTAAACTTTTCTAAAGACAGTAAGTTCCCCTCAGACATACATTCATATAAACTCATGCCCCTAACTGAATCGCGATGTTTAGCATCTCAACCCATTTGAATTGTCACGTATTTGAATCGATTTTCAACCGGCTCGCTACATTAATCGCTACATCCCTAACCAAAAGGTAATATTATATTACATTACAACAATTTATATTGCTGCAGAGTGACGTGAGAGAACGATAAATCTGAAGAATTTGTGAATTAATGCAAACAGAATTCATGGGGGAAAAAATACGAGATTTGAAAGGGATCCAAACATAGCCCCTAAATTAAACAAACACTTTTCTCCAAAACCTCATCCTCCAAAAGCATGACAGTCTTGAAGTCGTGGCCTAATGGTTAGAGAGTCGGACTTGTAACCCAA